GGCTACGGCCCGTCTGTCTCCTTGTAGGTCGGTCCTCGCCGCCTCCCCTGCAGCATCTCTTGGGCAGCTACCAGTGCAGCCGGGAAGATGACCACCTCTCTCACGGGGAAACGGGAATGCCGGTCCCTCCCTTCGGCTGCGCCTTTTCTGCAGGTAAAGCCGGCTTCGAAAGGCCCTTTTCGGGGCCAGGCTGCGGGCACCACTGTCAGCTTGCTTTTAGTTATTTATTTTTTTTATTTCATATGTCTCATGCTTTGGTTTCAGAGTTTCTTGTTTTAAAGCGAGCTGGTAATAGCGTACTTGCAGCTAGACGTGGTATAAATCGGGTGGTGGTGCTCCTAGATACACTGGTGGAAAGCATTCCCTTAAAGAAGCGACTACAGAGTGTTTATTTTAGTGTCTCTTTACTTCAGCATTGTGTGTTTCAAGGTATGTCCTCTTGGTGACAGTGCTAGGCTGCGTGGTTGAAACATTGGGCTTTGTTCAAAAGATAAAAGTTACAACAGGATGGAGAGCAGCGTGTAGAAATCGAAGAGGTGGATGGATGTCCCTGGGCATTTGCCCCTGATAAACACCTGAGGAGTGAAGTCAGCTCCTGGATCTTTAGGGCAAAACGCTTTCATCTGTGGCACTCTGGTTGTGGTGTGAGCTTGTACGTTTCTCCAAGGCAGTTTCCTGCTTTTCCAGCTCAGATCCAGAGAAAGTGCTGGAGGTTGCAGAGGATGGGTAGCATCGACACGGAAAACCGTAACCAGAGAACTGCTATAGCTGGTGAAAGAGGCCGCTACCTCAAAAGTTGCTCCTGGAGCCATTTTATTGCCCACATATAGTGGTTGCTAAATGGAACACCTAGAAAAAGTGCTTGCCAATATTTCTGCATTTTGAACATTTGGATTGCTGTGTAAATACTGTTTATTTCACAGCTATCTGTTTGCTGGATACCGTATTTAAAGTGTCTGTGGCCCTTAACGAAGAGGAGGGGCATGATTATGGATCAGCTACATAATACAGAAATTCTGTTCAATTTCTTTTCAGCCCCGAGTTTGGAGCACGTACTGGCAGTTGCAAATGAGGAAGGATTTGTTAGACTCTATGATACTGAAGCTCAAACTACCAGCAAACTCATCTTTAAGGGTAAATATTGTATAGGATGGTATCTTCATTTGATGTGACAAGCATGTGATTTACTGGAATCAAAGAAAGCTTTTTGCAAGTCGTTTAAACATAAATGTGGGCAGTACTTGAATCCTTTCGTTTACCTTGCTGGGTCTTCTTTACAAAGCAGCAGCATGGGTGTGCAGCAGTAGGTGAATTGTTCTGTGTTGCCTAAGGCAAGCTGTTGACAAGTTTTCTGGTTTCAGTGTCTGATGTTCTTTAGTATTCTGCAAAACATCATGCTGCAATGCACTGAACTAATCTTGGCTTTTGTTTTCTTGTTAGAATGGCAGGCTCACTCAAATGCTGTATTTGACCTTGCCTGGGTACCAGGGGAACACAGAATTGTAAGCAGTCTTTTGCCATTTAACTTTTTTTTGAATGCTTTGTCAACCGTGTGCAGAAAATGACTAAAGCTTTATTTTTTCATCTGAAGGTCACTGCTTCAGGAGATCAGACAGCCAAGGTGTGGGATGTGAGAACCGGCGAGCTTCTTGGCGTATGCAAAGGTCACCAGTGTAGCCTCAAGTCAGTTGCTTTTTCTAGGTTTGAGAAAGGTAAATGTTGATATTCCCTGTTGTCTGTTTTTTCCTTCTGCTCTCCCTCTGGCACATTGGTACTTCTGGGGCTAAAAAAGGGCTTTGGAAACTGACAAACAGCACAGGCCAGCTGAGCAGCAACCCAGCCAGTGAAGCAAAACTGACTTGATAGAACTTCACTGTGACCTGATGCGAACATCTGCGCATTTCTGATCTTGTGCAAGTTTAAGATATGATACCTACTTCCATACATAAGTGTATAAGTACTCTTTTCATAAGCAGGTTTCTCTAGACTAGTAGTAAAAAAAGACTAGGAAGAGTAAGCAAACTAGTCAAAAAGCATGGCAAAACCATGGCCTGATTTTTGTATTTCTAGGACTGGTGTACTGAGCGTTGGGGCAAAAGAGCCAGAGGCACGTAGATGGCACTGTACTGCATTCAGTTAATTAAATTAACGCTTTTGGAAGCTAATAGCACTGTTTTTCTCTCTCTCAGCTGTCTTCTGTACTGGAGGCAGAGATGGAAACATCATGGTTTGGGATACCAGATGCAACAAGAAAGGTAACTGAACTTTCAGATACGTATCAGAAAAGCTCAGTGTCTCATGTAAAAATAGTGCTCGGATGTATTTGTTGGACTAATGCTTTCAATTACAATATGGGCAACGCTGTAGTAAGAGAAGGAGGATTGTCGGATAATAGTGTACTGCTTTAGTACAGTAACAGGATGGAATAAGTATTTCTTCTATGTATAATACATTTTTACACTTTGTAACAGTCTCAGATTTTCAGCATGAGATACGTGCTGGCCTGGTAATATCCTGTGTATTGGTAAGGGGGTACAGAATACATCCCTGCGTGGGACAGCACGGAGATAGATGGGCTGGGTGAGAGTGCTTAGGTCAGATCCATCCAGAGGGATGAAGCAAAGCTGGGAAGGCTCCTGCCAGAGTAGGAAGGAAGGCAGAAAGTGCAGGACCAAAGGAGCTTGTGAGTGCTGGGAGCGACTGATTATATTGTGGGAACACCCACTAAATGCAGAGTGAGCTCATTCTGCTCCTCTCTTTCTGTTTCCTGGAGCTTTTCCTTCCCTGGTCAGGTCACGCCCTTATGCCTCTTCTCAGTCCCCTGCTCTGTCTCAGCAGTTTCCTGGCCTGTGCTGCCAGAACGTGTCTCACTCTTTCATCTGTCCCAAGTTTCCTGGCTCTTCAAACTGGCAGGTGGGGGAAGGGGGGGGCTCCGCGTGGCTGAAGCGGAAGGTGTGGGAAAAAAAGTAGAAAAGTTGCTTTACTCTAGTAAAGCAGTAAGTTTCATAAAGTGAGAAGTAGCAAACAAAAGGATAAATAGAAAATAGTAAAATAGAGTGGAAAAGCACTGGAAATCTTCCTGTGAGTGCAGCTGAGATGGGCTGAATGCTCCAGACCAGGATGCATGCTAAAGACCAGACCAAAGGCAGCCTGCCTAGACCAGTTTTAGTTTCAATGTCAATGATACATTGACCTCTGATTTTTTGCAACGTATGCTCCTGTTTTCTACTATGTTCTTCTCATCGGTTTTGTGTGTAACTAATAATTTTTATTTTCAGAATACATTAATGATTTTTAAAGGTTAGTCTCAGCCACTTTTTAGGACTTATTCCAAGCTCATGCCTGTGTTATTAAAGTGATAGCAAAACCGCATGAAACTATCAATTGAGATGTCTTTGATATCTTTCAGATGGATTTTATAGGCAGGTGAATCAAATCAGTGGCGCACACAACGTGGTTGACAAGCAGACTCCTTCCAAACCAAAGAAGAGGCAGAACCTAAGAGGACTTGCTCCCTTGGTGGTAGGTATCTGGGAAACAAGTTATATGTAGGACTCTCTTCTGAGGACAACGTTATTCATAGAAGTCTTCCTAAGTAATTATCGTGAGAAGCATTTGGCTCGAATGTGGTAAATGCATCCATTTATCTTTGCAGAGGTAGGTTTTTCTGTCGTGGTCACTTGCTATGGCTAATTTTAGGCACTGTTTAGTTGTCTAACAACCCACATGCCATCAAAGCCATCTTTGTGCAAATGCTGTGTGAAAATACATCTTTTTTTTTTTTTTTTTCCCCAGAGAAGTAAGGAGTTGGCCAGCATTCCTTTTTTTGAGGGGAGAGATAGGGAACCTTGTAATCTTTTTTTTCTTTCTTTTTTTCCCACCTAATTTGACCACACAAATTACTGTCTTACTGCAGTAGGACCTGGTCTTATTTAATCTATTAAACCTTGTGATGAAGGCAGCTCTGTACCTGAAAGGTACAATCTCGAACTACTGCCCAAACACTTGCCGCTCAGTGGCAGTTTCACTGGTGGGAGTGTTCGAAGGAGTGTTGTGCCCTAAACGACATCTGGTATTTCCAGGTTCTCCTGCCTGGCCTGGAGGTTTTCTCAGTATTCACTTGGCCTTGAACTAAGCAGCAAGATCTTGCTGACCTTGAAAGAAAATAATTTTTTTTTTAATTTTATTTTTAAGGATTTCCAGCAGAGTGTAACTGTGGTGGTGCTTCAGGATGAGCATACTCTTATCTCTGCAGGAGCTGTTGATGGGTAAGGAGGGAGAATGCCTGCTTTTCTGTCTGTTCTGTGTGTTCTTCTTAGTGGCACAGAAAGATTGGGAGATTTTCTTTCTAAGATCACTCAGTGGCCCACCAGGCTAGAGTTACTATTAGGTAGAATCAGCAAAGCTACGCTGCCAGCTTGCATTGGCTAAGCTGAATGCCACTTTTTTTCCTTACTGGAGATTGCAGCGCTGGTACAAATTGTCTCTCGTTCGTGGCTTAGCGATGTGGCAGAACGATAGCGGTTCTTATCATCTCTCTCGTCATCTATTCTCATGGGCCTATGGGACCACACATAAACAGACTATTGTTGGACAGTGAGCTGATTTGGGATGCAAGTGGGTGGTTGGTGCCTGGATATGTGTAGGCATGCTTGAGAAAATGTTGCCTTGAGTTACAAAAGATGCATTCTTTTAGGTGCCAGCATTTTGGAGCTCTGTCTCTGATTAGCATGGAGATCACCCTCTCAGGACTCGATTCTTTAGCAGCCTCCATGTGGTCAGAGCCTTTCTAAGGCAGATAAGATTGACTCCTGCCTATGGCTCATGAGAGAGGCTTGCTTCTGGAGAGCAAGAAAAACTTCGAAGGACTTCGTTTTTAAAATTACAAGTCAGAAGTGTAAAGGCATCCTTGTATTTCCTTTTACTAGTTGGATAAAGCTGACTTGCAGGCCCATGTATCTTGTGTTGGTTACAGAAGATGGTGCTGCTTCCTCATCCATACCCAGCAGAACAATTTGTTTTGCTTTCAGCACATCTCTGCTCTACTTCTGCTCAGTTGTGAGCAGTTGTCCCTTAGCACTGGACACCCCTCAGTAACAAGCAACCTGTCTTCCTGTGCTCTTAGAAGGCGCTATCAGCATTGCAGAAGAAATTTTGAAGTTGAAATCGCTTGTGCTTTTGTATTTCAGTGTGATTAAAGTATGGGACTTGCGCAAGAACTATGCTGCTTACCGTCAGGACCCGGTGCCTTTCAAGTGTTTTTGCTATCCTGGGACCAGTACTCGCAAACTTGGTAAATTATTGGAGGATGTATTTTATAAAGTGCAAAGTGAATTTAAAAAGTGCTGACTGTGCCACCTCTTATCTTTTTAGCCAATTATCGATCAGACTGACAAGCTCAGCAGGGTATTTTGATTGCCAAAACCAAATTTTCAAGTAGAACAGTGAAAGTGCCCCACTTCTGTATCATTGCACCAATGATAAAAACTTGCATAAGCTTCAGCAGTGCATTTTCAGAAATGGAGGTGAGGGAATAATGGAGCTCCTGAGGTAGAATTTAGCTAGTTGTTTTGATGCATAAGTAGAAATCAGATTGAACTCTTTCTTTGCATTGTATCATGCAAAGACAACAGAGCAGACTGGGTTTTTACATTATAACCTTCCAGAGTCGAACAATACTTGAAGCTGTTTGTCATCAAAAACAATAGAGCTCTTGTTTGTGTTGCTCTGTGCTTCTCTGCATCTTAACGCCTTACAATGCTCTGATGCAACACAGTAATTCCTGATGACTTATCAACTGTCTTGACATGGTAAATGGTCAGTGTCAGTCCCAAGAACGTGAGCGAATTCCTCGAGTCGCTGGTTGGGAAAGAATTTGCTTGCGGGGAAAGATTTTTCTTGAACCTAAATCACTAGCAAATCAGAGTATGGCTTATTCTACCAAAGCATGAGGGTTTCTATTTATTTTTCATCTCTGCTTCTACAATTGGTTGTTCCTGTTATCCATTTGAAACTATCAAATAAAGCACTTGTCTGCACTTTAGGTGAGATTCCTCTCTAAATATCACCCTGAATCCTCGTGAGAAAAAGCAGCTGTTATTCTAGAAACGTACCTTCTCCAGCAAGTGCTCTGTGAAACAAATAAAACTTCCAATGACAACCTCATAAGTGATAGAGATCCTTTCCAAATTTCCTGAACGCCTGTTTTCCAAAATGTTTTTTGTGGAGTTATTTCTTATGAAGAACTTTCTCTTTTCTGTAGGATATTCTAGCCTAGTTTTGGATTCCACTGGTGCTAATCTGTTTGCTAACTGCACTGATGACAATATCTACATGTTCAATATGACGAGTTTAAGGACCACTCCAGGTAAGCATGATATCTGTGGAAATAGCTGCAAAAAATAGATGTTACAGAACACAGAAAGGCGAGTTCCTCCCCGTGACTTAGAGAGACTAACCTGTATGCTTAGGAAACCTACTCCATGCTCATATGTCTAAAGCTACCTGGGAGAGTAGGCACTTGTAACAAGGGCTGTTCATGTTTTGTGTTCAGCCATCCGCATAACACTAATAGTACAAAACCTTACATAAGTGCAGATACTGGTCCACCTGGACTGAGACTAAGGATAGTCTGCATGTTATCTGGGGAGGAATGGCTAGTGTCCAGCTGCTACCCACCTGAAGCAAGTTTGAATCTTCTGCTTACTGGCCATCACTGATTTTTCAAGCTCTGAGTTATGAATCCATGTGAAATGGTTCTATTCAGAAATTTTAAGCTGTCTTTTAAATCTAGCTTCTACCGCAGTTTCTGGGAGAAAGCATCCTAGGAATATTATGGAGATGCTTCAGCTGTTTAGATTCCTTCAGCTCTGCATCTGTGACCTTTACGTTCACGAGACGGTCCACAGACTTCGGTGCACTCAGCTGCTCTGTCATAGGCCAGTGGCTTCTCAGAAAGCGGCAAAACTTGTCCGATGCATTCCAGCCAGACACGTGATTTAGTTTCCATTGCCTTTCTCAGTCCCTCAGTTAATTGAAATTAAATGAACAATGTGTCCTTCTGTCTGCTCTTCAGGAAGGCAGGCTGTTGGGTGGGATTGCTTCCAAAGTCGAGAATTGGTGCAAGTGGTAATCATTAATGCCAGTCGTTGAGGTTAACCCCGGGTGCCATGGGTGAGCTGTGGAAATAGCCTCGCCGGCCTGTCCCCTCGCTGGTGTGGGGTCTCTCTGGAGCACAGGGCATCCCGCCTTCAGCCTTCTCACGCTCCCCTCACCTTCTGCCGACGAAGCCGAGCGAGCAGCTGCCGTTCATCCAGCAGGATGGAAGGCGTGCAGCCTCTAGTCGTGCCACTGTTCCCGCAGAGGGCAGCGCCTGCCCGCGGGTCCGTGCCTCGCTCCCTGCTCCTGGCTTGGCTTCCCCTCTCCCTCCCAGCCGATCCGCTGCCGAGGCGGCAGCAGGGCACGGGGGAAGTGAGGAAATCCTCACCGTAACAGGACTTGCCAGTAGGTCTGGCTTAGGAGAGAGCTCGCTGCCCCGTAACCGCTGCGCTGAGAGCGCTGCGGGTGAAAAACAAGAGTTCCTTTGGGGTCTCGCCGCTTTTCGAAGCCCGCCAAAGGAGGTCACCTGTCCTCCAGTCTGTGGGTCCTCTCCTCCACCAAAACCACTATTAAACCAGGGCTGGTGAAGGGGGTGCCAGCCCCACCTGGCACCGTGTCGAGAAACGCACCCCTTCTGCCCCGATGAGAGGGCTGGACGTAGTGCGGCCGAGTGCTCGAGAGCCACACGGCTCCTGCGCTGGCTCCTCCAGTCCTCGCCGTGGGGGAAATGGCAGCTCTTTGGGGTGATGGTTTCGAGGCTTTAGCAAACACTGCTGAGGCTTTAAGTATAGGCAACCAGTGAGCAGGGCTGACACAATGCAAGTTTTGTTGACGAAATAAAGATGCTGGCAGCGGGAGGAAGGAGCAGCAAGCGCCTTCGTTGCCACCTGGGTGGAAGAAGGCCCATGCTGTGCTTTCTGTTAACGTAGCGGGGTTGGTGGTGGCGGCTGAGAGACGAAGGGGTGAGGAACCTGAACCAGAGTAGTGGGGCAGCCCAGGCAATGATGTCTCAGCCTGCTTGTGACACGGATGAAGCTAAAGCTTGAACGAAACTGCCACTGCTTCCTAATGCTGTGGAGAGAGCTGCTCAGCTAAACCTGCTCCGTTTGGGAAGCCTGAAGGGCTCCGGTTGGGGTTGAATAATAAAGACGTGCTGCCCCCAATCCCCAGAGCGAGGGAGCAGTGCAACCACTTTCTCCGGAGGATCTGTGGCTGGCTAGGCAGGAAAAGCCTGTAAGATCAGCCCTGCTTGCGCAACCGACTCCACGGCTGTGCACGCAGTGGGATTTTATTTTCTTTTTTTTTTCTTCTCACAGTGGCGGGTTTTCGCGGGGGCCAAAAACTCCATCAAACCCAGCCCCAGCCCAGACGACCAGTTCTTGGTCAGTGGCTCGAGTGACTGCAACGCGTACATCTGGAAGGTGAGGCGACTGGGAGAGACCCAAGTTTGCAACCCAGAGCAGCTCCGCTCTTCTGTTTCGTTTGCTTTTCGTGTTCACGTAAGACACTCCCTGCCTCCCACTCCTACGTACGGCAGCACAGGGTTAGCTCCTGGCGTGTTGTGCCCAGAGTCTGTTGCTGTCAAGGCTAGATGTAAAACAGAGCTAACCTCCTGCCATCAATATGTCTCTCATCACTGCTGCTTATTGCAAGTTGCTGATCTTAATCTGGGTTTAATGGGCATTAAAATCCTCTTTCAGTTCTGGTGATTCAGCCAGCTATGACAAGCAGACAAACAGTTCTCGGTTCATATTTAGCAATGGAGCACGTTAACAGAAACATAACAATTTAACTGTTTTCAAGGACACTCTTTCCCCCACTTCCTCTTTTTGCAGCTCTTGCTTCAGATATAGCTTTTTCTTATGCTTAATTTACAGTAGTTAAGGCCTTTGCAATACAGCAAGGGCTCAGCCAGAGCCTTCAGCAAAATTCCAAAGCACCCTCTGACAGCCGAGAGGCTTCATCACTTGGCGTCTTGTGCTGATGTGTAGGAAATGCCAGTGTCACCAAGTTAATAGCAGGGACCTCAGAATAAGGTGGGCTTGAAGTTCTGCTCTCCATACTTGACAGCCATACGGGACTTCTTCTCTGATATAGAAGAGACAGAAACCACAGGTGACTGTTTATTTCAGGTTTGGGGTAATTTTTAGGGAATGCTGACTTGTTTACCCCTTTCATGATGAGTTCGAAAGTAGAATAGAAACCTTTGAGAGCAGAGGGCCAGCCTGCTGTGGTTGTGGTTTGAGCATGTATTCTCTTTCATTTGGAGAACACTTGTAAGCAGCTAGGTTGCTTAGTCAGAAGCAGAAGGAGTGCAGGAACATGGCTGCTCCCATGCCAAGTGGTGTAATTTTAACCTTCCTCATGTCCCGTGCAAGTGCAGCGAAAACACCTGTGCAAAGTCGGGTTGCGCGTCCTGTGTTCATGTGTTTTGATACTTTCCTGGAACACAGACTGGGACTGGGTCGAGAGCATTTGAGGATGTCACTACATCTCAGAAATTAAGCATTTAAGCACATTTAAAAAGCATTAATGTACAGAAGGCTTCTGTTGCTATCGCATATGGGTGGCAGATCGTATTGCATATTTATCAAATAAATCATCAGGTGATTACTTTTATTTTAATCCCATAGTCATGTTAGAAAGTGGGACTTCGAACGAAACTGTCTTTCTCAAGGTCTGTCATATCCAGCGGGTTCTTGATTTGTTTTAAATGCTGGCAGATTTTACTGATTCTGAAGCACATCTATCTTTTCCTGGGATGAGGACTTACTATGCTGTGAAAAAAAACATAGTTAGATATTGCATGAGCAATTAACAGGTAATGTTGGAAATAACTTAATGAAGAGCACTAGCTTTCCGTATCTAGATAGGAATGAAAGGCAGAGTAAGACCTTGTCCACCCAGATTATTTCTTTGAGAAACTTTTGCAGCAGTGCTAAGTTGTGCCTGGGTCAGCAATTCCCAAGGAATACTGTGGCTAGCTGTTATTGCTGACGAGGATGCTGTTTCAGTCTCTTTTCCATGTATAAATCACTTCCAGGCAATGAACACTCACTTTATTGTGTTGGTGTTTTTTTTTAATTACTAGTTCGTTGATTAATGAACTGACTCTTGAACAGCCCTAAGATTATAAAAGCCAGAAAGCAGAGAGGTTTCTCTCTACAAAGATGGTACCTAGCTGAGCTACCTTCCTGGTAATAAAAAAATCTCTTTTATAGATGTATGGTTCCATAGTTCCATGGTTCTCTGAATCCTCTGGTACAGGCCACTCTGAGGTGACCATACTAAGTTACCTTTTGGTCTGTCCCAGCATTGGAATTTAAGTGCTTCTGTGTTGTATGGTGCATAAAACTACATACGCCATTTTATGCTGAATCTTGAAGATGGATACAACAGCTGTTTCAGTGAGTAGAGTAACTAAGAAAGTCTCATTTCCTGGGTTTCTCTTTTTAACCTTTCCACAATAGCTCCAACTTCCCCACCAATATCCTGTCAAATCAGGCAAAAAGCAGCATGTGCTCTTGCTAATCCTGACTTAACACGTGCAGGTTGGCTGACTGTCTTCTGCCAAACCCAGTGGACACAGCTACAACTATGCATCCTCCTTTAGTTCACAGTAATATAAGTTGGGTGTAATTGGCTTAATTTACACTAGTAAGTGTAAAACCAGTGAGTACCAGCAAGAATGATTCTCTTCCTCTGCTCTTCTTTCAGCAATCAGCGGCTACTGGACCGCTATTGTGTCTGTTATGTGTGTCTAGCAAGATCGCTGGTAAATGTAAACAAAGGTGTTCTCTGCACCGAGATCTCCTGTTGTTTATTCCCTAAATAGAGATTTAGTTTCCATGGTATTGCATGTTTTGGCAGAGAAGTGAATACTCTGACCCAGGCATTCAGTGGATATTTAGTCAAGTGATTGCCTCTGCTATGCCAGGACAAAAAAGCAGCCTGTTAAGATGAACCTGTTTGTATCAGAACAACCTTAAGATCTGAAGCTGGATAATCAATTGCGGTTTTGCAGGCTGTTGTAGGTGATCCACCAGACAAAAACTTGTGTGTAAATCAGAAGCCTTTCCTGATGTCTTGCATCTTCCTTAGGAATCTGTGTGTAATGTCTACTCCCTTGCCCACACAGTAAAGGATCTGTTCATTCACTTAGTCATTTATGCAAATCCCCTTGATAAATCCCCCTTATAATGTCACATCAATAATGGTGACTCATAGCTCCAGAAAGGATTGCCAGCTCAAAGCATGCAAAACTTGGATATAATCTCTGTGTGTGTGTGTGTGTGTGTGTGTACGTATATGTGTTTTCTGCCTTGGACCACTTAATAGCTTCAGCTGTATCTGTCACTTACATGAGCTGTAACTGAAGATGAATAATAATACTGTAGAACAGGGCAAAGATTTTTATGAAGGGTGTAAGACAAATGGAGATCAGTTTATTGAGCATGAATGATTTAGGGAGCTTTTTTACAAACTCTTAAGAGCGTCTCTGGTCTAGTTGGTTGGGTGGAGGAGGTACAGGTGCTTGGCAGTCACGCAAATGCCAGTTCTGATTCCAGTGAATGTTCTTCTATGTTCTTCTATGGTGGCGGTTTTATTTTTTTAATAAACCATTGACCTGTGATTGGGACATTTATAAAATGGTAGCAGAATATATTTTCCTCATTCAAAGTATGAGCTTCCCAGACTTTTAAGTGTCTTGCCTAGAACAGGTAGAGGTACTTAATGTAATAATATGCTTGTGTCGTGTGCTGAGCTGACAACTCTGGAGGCAGAAATCCTGTGTGTACCAGGAACTGAACAAGTGTTTTCAGGCAAGTCAGTACATCTCAGTGCTGACCAGCTGCTTCACCTCTAGAAATGAAACATGAACTTATTCTTAGAGCTCCATCAGTCGTTGGCGCATGATGACAGGCTGAGAGCATTGGATTTATCCATGTCATGTAGGAAAGATGGAAAATGTTTGCGTGCTTCACAGGTGGGCTGTGGGCTTTTTTCTTAATGGTGCGTATTAGGCTGCGGGTCTTCTAATTTTGTGCCTGTTTTTCTATGCAATTTTAAAGGTTTCTGAGCCCAGTCTTCCTCCATGGATACTCTTTGGTCACTCTCAAGAAGTTACCTCGATTGCTTGGTGTCCTTCAGACTTCACTAAGGTTTGTTTTCTGGAAAATTGCTTTTCCGATGAAACAATAGATATCATGTGGCAACATCTGCTTTTCAAAATTACAGCAGTATTTATTTGTTTGAGAGGAAATATTTGGCCAATAATTTCTAAAAATATTCATTGGGGGGCAGTAAACCAAGCTTCTCATGTAAGTACAATGTATCGGAACTTTTTCATTATTTTAAATAAGACAACAAAGGAAATACTACTACTAATAATAACAGAATATGCAAACCAAGCAATATTCAACAGAATTTTTTCTCACCTCCCAATGACCAATTCACGGCCAGCCCCCATTCATAAACTGAGCATGACATCTATGGTATGGAATATTTCCATTAGCCAGCTTGGGCTCGCTGCCTGGCTGTGCTCCCTCCCAGCTCCTGCACACCTGCCCATTAGCCAAACATGGGAAACTTGAAAAAGTCCTTGATTTCTTAGCAACAACTGAAAACATCAATGCTATCAACATTCCTCTCGTACTAAATCCAAAACACAGCAGCTACTGGGAGGAAAATTAGCTCTATCCCAGATGAAACCAGGGCGCATAGTTACAGCTTGCTTACCTGTCTGACCATTGATGTGTCTTCTAGTCTTGTACAGAGCGGCAAGAAGTTTTGAATGCCCTTTAAAACACGTAGACTTGTTCCATGTGGACATTTCCATTTCATTGTGAGCTTTTTTCAAAATCTGAGCTGCCTTTATGACATATTTGTGTGTACACCCAAAAACCTACAGTGAAATTGGGTCAGTAACTAAACACCAGGTATCACTAAAAGGAAGAGAACTGCAGTGGGAGGTTGGTTCAAATGACTGGTCTTGCTCAAATTGAGAAATAACCCTGAAAATTCCTAGAAAGTGTCTTAATCATAGCCAGAGTTTCTTTCACCCCACAGTGTTAAGCAAGTTGGCCACTTTCCCTTCCTTGCACTATAGCACCGGGTCTCCAGAGAAGCTTTGAAGTGTGAGAGTCATGCAGGCAAACAGGAGGAATTATTCTAGTTGTGCAAGATGCACAAAAATATGAAAACTGGCATTTCAGATGAAATTTGTCATCTAGAGGTAGCCCAGCATCCTGATCATGATGTGTTGGAAATGCAGACCAATACAGCCTTTAAAATCATTACTGTATCATTAACTAAGAAATAGTTAGCCATTGTACCAGTGCCAAAGCATGAAGAAAAGTGGAAAATGTGGTGCTAAGACATGTCAAGAGGCTGCCTGGAGCGATTTGAGAGGCAAAGTTGCTTTCTGTAGGGACAATATTGGTGTCACAGAGGTCAAAGTAGAGGCACCTTCCCATTCAGATTACTATGAACTTTGGCCACAGCATTTCCTTTTTCTTGCTGCTGATTCCCATGTGAGTCACCAGCTAATCTGTTTGAACAGAGCCATAAAATGTGGGCTAGGTGGGTTCTGCTTCTTCTTCAGATGAGATTCCATGGAACCTTTTGGAGTGTGTGATGCCGCGGTGGGAATCTAGACCAATGTTTCTAGCAGAGTTTGTTTCTCCGCCAGGTACTGCTGACATCTGAGTCTGCAGAGATAGCACTTAAGGCTAGAGCAGCAGCCTTCCAGTGTCACCCTCATGTGTGGCATATGTTTGTCCCCAAGCAGAGAAGGTGCTGAATAACAGAGACTGACCTAGGTGCAGGTGCAAAAAGCAGCATAGCCACTTTTGTCTACTGAGTGACCAAAAACTCAAAATATGCCCTGGCTCTTCCCGAGGAGACTGCTGTCTGTTACTGAGCTACACAAGACAAACGGTTACTGTCACTGGTGACTGAGATGTCTCTAGCAGAAAGACATGAAGGCAGCAGCCTTGCCCTCTTTAAAGCAAATACTGCTGTCCAGTACAGTAATGAAGCAGAGTTGGGTTATTCTGTTTGTTTTATAGGCAAATCTTTTACCCCCTCCAATGAGGCTTCACCTTCACCCTGCATTCATATTGGCATGGTGTGTTGGGTGTAGTTCGCTTGGCCAGTGATCCATAGGATGTGCTCTGGCTATTCCAGAAAACTAATTTATACCATAGATTGCCACGTGCTCTGATGACAACACTGTGAGGATTTGGCGCTTACGACGTTGTCCTGAGGAGGAGAAATCAGAGTTCAGCAAAATCAACTTGGTGGGCTGGGTCACTCAGAAGAAACCAGAAGAACGACGTGGAGCGGGTAAGGCCCCTGAGGTTTCTTGCTCTGCAACGTGGCTTCTGAATTTTGGCTGTTCTCTGTGCCAACACAAGCTTTTGGCTTGTCTTAGTCTTCTATTTTTTTTCACGTTAGGCAATAATTCATATAGCCAGCCAAACACCACTTCTACTTGTAAATGCTCCTGCCACCAACAAGACAAGCTAGCTGAAATAGCTTACAGGTATGCCAAAGACTGTATGACCAAGCTGCAGAGCAAATATTCGTTAACACAGCTTATCAGGCACAGATCTTCAGCAGGCATCAGCAGGGTTTGATAACTGAACAGCCAAAGGAGATGTCATGTGTGCATGGATATAGTGAAAGTACTTTAAAAATGCATGTAGACAGTCACGATATGATCATAACGTTCCATAATTCATCAGTAGCATTCATCTATTCACGTGTTAAGGCTAGTACCTTTCTACAAAGCCTAGGTGATCAGACAAACTATGCATTGTGGTCTCACAGCTAACAAGCACATCAGGTCTCTATAGAGAAGTTACTCACTGGACCCTACAACAAAAGAAAAGAGCCCTGGATCATAGCACTACTTTAACTTGTCTGAAACTTGCGTTTTGTTACAGTAGAGTAGGTGAAAGGAGAATAACCTCCCCCAAAATTGAAAGAAGATGAGCTTCTCTGTAGTGTAGCGCTGAAACTAAAAATACAATAGCTTCCCAGCAGCTGGTGGTGTGACTTCCTGTGTTCCACCTATCTTTTCTAGCCACCCTCCAAACGCATTTCACCTTGGCTAACACAAATACAGGCTGAAGGTCTCCAAATCCCACTAATGGGATAACATTACCTCTAACCTTTTGCCACTGAGTAGCGGGCTTGCAGGAAGTTTGCAGTACAATAGTAGGGAGGGTGCCAGGTCTGCTCCACAGCTGGTCAATGGTTTGTGGATGCACACGCTCTGCTTCAGAAAGGGCTCAGAAATCACACTGTGTGCTAGTTTCAGCAAAAGAGAATTAATCATAGGTCTAGTCCAGAAGCCTGAAACCTAAAGGAATTTGTACGCTGAAACTTTACAAGTCAGCTTTGGCAATTCTACTGGAAAAATAGCTTCTTTCTCTTTGCTCTCACTGCATTAAAGCAACACAGGAGGAAAGAGGAAGTACACAGACGCTGCAAACACACCAGCAGGCTTCC